TGCTGCTGCTGCTGCTGCTCCTGCAATAGCTTGCCGCTACCACTGCTGCCGCTGCGGCTGCTACTGCTTTTTCTCTAGGTCCCGCAGCATCCGAGCTTTCCGGCTTAATACTTAAGAGTGTCGGTGTTCCCCAAATCGAAAGGTATGGATTCTAGGCTTCATGCCAAGCTCTATCTTGCCTTTGAACCCAGCAATTCTCCACGGCTCAGGGTGTGCACAAGTGGAAGATGCAGCAAGATCCGACGAGAATCATGCTGGCTCTGTACAACTTCGCCTTCCAGCCAGCGAACCAGGCACCCAAGCTTCCCCCTAAAGTAGTCGGAACTCGATGTTGAGGGTGTCGTGTGTTCTGGCGTTCAAGAGCCCAGGGTTTACAGAGCTTCTGGAAGCTTCTCATCAGGAAGCAGATTGCATGAAAGCCCACATGAAGCAACCGGTTTCCAACTCGTCTGGTTGTTTCGGAGAACAGTCGTGCAAGTCTGACCTACTCCGAGCCATTCCCCCTCCGTTTTTACGAACTCGCCTGGAGGCATATTGGGTTCTCTTGGATGGGCATGTCTGGCCGGTGACGGCTGCGGCGGTTATGAAGCTTTCGCTGCAAACAGATGTCTTCATTTCAAAGTTGCTCACGCGCAGACATGAACTGCTTGTAGTCATCCTACCTGCTGGCAGCTTCTTCGTTTCTCTGTGAACTTGATGGCAGGTCTCAGCAGAACGTGCGATCATGAGAAACAGAAGCAAAGATATCCTGTGGTCCATACTCCTGCAGAACGATCGTCCGGACTTTGTGCAAGCCTGGTGCTTGTGTAGTGAAGGGATTGTTAGATTCCCGTAGCTCGCATTCGACGGCCTTCATGCTCTAGACTCAGCTTCAGTGTGTCATTTGACTATGATTTGTAGCTGTACGTTGTTTGGTATGCTTCTTCTTTCACATGATATTGTCGTTACCATCGTAGATGGTGTAGCAACCCGATAAATTTAGCCACTAATGATGCGGGTGTATTCACGGTAGCCAACATGATGATTGTGGCTGTTGTGGGTTTCGCATCACTTGATTGCAGATAGTTGCCCGACTTGTTGTAATTGCCATAGTCGGCAAAGAGCACGCCAGTGATTGCGTCCTGGTGCTTCACCCAAATTGCTGTGCTTTGGAATGGCTCTGGAGGTGTCGCAGTGAGTTGTACAAGAACTGCGCAACTGGTGTGGTCCCATCGTTCGATTTCAACCTGCATCAAGTATTTCTTTGATGATGTTCGCCTCCTCGTTCTTGTTGTCCTGCGCAGTAGCAATGTGAGTTTAGGGATTCGGGCTCATCTGTTGCTGCTATTTCTGCTCGGAACAGTGGACTTCTGTCAGTCGAGGAACTACTTGGACATCTTCGCCGAAGAAACGCAGGATCGGCGGGCGGTTGGGGCTTGTTTCAAACAACGGCTTCCCTTGAAGACACCGCTTTTCCTCGAAGGTGCCTGTTTAGAGCAATTCCATGCCCTAAACCCTAAATCCTAAACCCTAAACCCTAGAACCCCTAAACCCTAAAGCAATTCCTCATGAATCGAGGGCTTCAGAATGTCTGAGGCCACATCGATGTGAATCCTGAAGTTCAGCCTTTTGGGGTTTGGGAAGCCCCAAAAACGGAATCTGAAGCCTAGGACTAGCAGAAGTGAGACAAACAAATCTGAGTAATGAGACCTTGCACTAATATCTCTGACAGGATCACACTTCTGGTGATTGCCAAGGGGCATCGTCTTAATCAGAAAGCCATAACCTCAACCTGCAGGGTTTAGGGGTTTGGGGTTTAGGGTTTAAGGTTTAGGGTTTAAGGTTTAGGGTTTAGGGTTTAGGGTGCACGTTGCTGTGACATCTGAAAACCCTCCAACCTTACTTTCCAAAGCCCGCAGGTTTTTTTTTTGCGCCTAGTGTGTGTGTAGTAACTTTAGAGATCACGGTTTAGGGTAGTAGAAATGTGGGATTGGTGGTCACTCTGCGAGTCATGGCCTCCGTAATGACCCAAGCATTGCAATCGTAAAATCAACACTCCCACGTAGGCAGGTACTTTCAGTACTTCAGGGGTACAAAGGAGAAACCTGCCAAATCACCGGTCCCTTCTTCCAGCTGTCGGTAGTGTACCCTACACCCTAAACGCAATCAAGGGCACCAGAAGGCCCAGGAACTACGCTTGACCCAAGAGGTGCATTGGCGTCGCTGCCCCTGTCCACCAGGGAAGCCGAAGGCAGATGGCTTTGGGGCAGAGGGGTGTTCCGGGTAAGTAGTATCAAATAGGATTGCTGGAAGTATTACCATTATTATTCCCACTACTATTATTAGTATTATTATTGTTATTGTTGGTATTATTGTTATGATTGTTGTTATTGATACCAGGGACTTCGAAGCCATGGCCACGCGACCTTCTCTCCACCAGCATCGTGATCATGATGCGTGGGTTTAGGGTTTAGGGTTTAGGGCAGTTGTTACGGTTTAGGTGATCTCAGACTCCGAAGCATGTTCTGTGGCGTTTGCATATTGCCATGGCTAGCTAGGTAGCGGTCTTGCAAAAGCCGCCTACCCGGACCTAACGGCCCGATGTAGGGCGAAAAGCTCAAATCATCAGCACAACAGCAGAAGACAAAATGGGACTCCTGCACTTATATGGCATAGCATGAACCTTGTATGAACACGAACCAGAACCTCCTCATCCTCGTCCTAACCTTGAACCCCCTGATGCGTTGAGGTCGCCCGTAGGCCGCAGAGCAACCACTACACCCCACATCCGAACTAATCCCTCAACCCAAAGGTGCTAAACCTTTCAGCCGCAACCCGAAGCGAAGTCCAAAACTCCTAAAGGATTCAGCGCCGCTGTTGCCTTGGAGGTTTGGCCTCCATCTCCGACTCAAAGCTCACGACGCATCGGTGTGGCCATCATGGCTCCTCGACTTGGAGGGATCGGAATCAGTGGAAGCTAACGGCATTCCCTTATAGTCCCCATATAGCTTTATTACAGTATGCCTTCAAAGGCCTCTATTCTAATTATTAAATTAACGCTTCTATATCATTGGGATCATAGGGTCGAGGCTCTGGGTTGCGGGGCGATGAGGGTTTAGCATCTCGGATTTCGTGTTTACGGTTGAGGGTTTCGGGTCTAGGATTTAGGTTTCAGCCGTCTTTCAGGAGAATGAGCAGCAACGATTGTCTGGTGCCTTTTTTTACCTGCAGACGTTGACATTGCTCTCACAACTGTCTCTTGATTCGCTGTTCCTCCGGTTTTGTCATGGCTCGTGTCATAAAAATAGACCCCGTTTGATAAGCCCTGAATCCTAAACCCGGTGCTCGTCAGACCTGGTCCCGTCTCTGACTCCTGGCCTTGGGACGGTTGCTGTGGGAGATTCCTCAGAGGGAGTTCAGCGCAGGGGGCTTCCTCGCCTGGCCGGGCTTGGTTGCTATGACTAGTCGGTGTCAGTTTTTTTGCTGAAACTTATAAGCATCTTCTCTCCTCTCTTTTTACAGTAAGGCTCCTAATGATCACTGCTTCGAACAATACCATCACTATCGCTCTTCGTATTCTGTTAGTGCTGTTCCCATTGCAGAGGTTCTTGCCATCGCCGCTCTCATTTCGATCGCTACTTTGTTGCTGCCACTTCTTTTTCCAGATTCTCAGTAGTCGTGGGCTCTGCAGGCTTCTGGTAGTCGTGCGCGGTAGCCGGTACTGAGCTAGAGATGGGCTTGGAACAGTGGCGGGGGTGTGCAGGGCTGGGCAGTGGGGGTTTCAGAGGTTCAGCACAAACCCTAAACCCTAACCCTAAACCCTAAACCATGCAGCCCGAATTTGGAACACTTCTCCCTGTCAGGGGAACCACAACTACATCGCCGACATCGCCTTGGGCTTCCAGGATGCTTCAGCTGAAGTGGCCTTTCCTGTGGACATCACGATCTTGGGCTACGTCCTCGCCCAGAAGTACGAGTCGGCGAGGGAGTATTGCAGGCACCCAAAACTTTAGTACATTACAGTATAGTGTGGTGTGGTATGGTAGAGCTTAGTAGAGTTTAGCAGATTGCAACATAAGATCATACGACATGATATAATAGACCTGGAAAGTTTGTGGTGGTAGAAGCAAAAAGCTGTGTGTCGCTAGGCTCTCAGTCCGCAGCATGTGACGTAAAGCACAGCTGCAGTTGTCTGCATGATGGCCCTAAACCCTAGGTTTAGGGTTTAGGGGTTTAGGGTTTAGGGTTTAGGGTTTCTAAACCCAAAACTCTACACCGTACAGATGACCGAGCATACGTGAGACTGAGACAACACATAGCCTGTGTGAGCCTCTCAATGAAATATATAGTGGCACTACAATCGACTATAATATGGCACACTGATATACTCTGTTGTACAGTGTCCTGCATACTATACAATGCTATGTTTTTGTATACGACATAACATAGTACAGTATGTTGTAGTACGCTAAAATGCAAATACCGTACTCTTGAATATAATAGATTACAGTAGGTCCAGTAGGTTAGAGGTAATAATTGTAAATCAGATAGTCTGAGATTTTAAGATAGTTCGGTATGCTATAGCACAGCCTAGGAAAGCAGAAAAAAGCATTAGTAAATACCATAATTTTCTATACAGCATCCTATGAGATAGTGCAAGACTACATAGCACAACGGGAAAGAGCACACACGACGCCATCTAATGCAGTAGGGTAATATACCTCTAAGATCGTATGGTAGAATATGTAATGTACATCTGTCAGTCGAACGCGTAAATCATGTGGCCAGACGGGGGTTTCCGAAAATAGGGGACCCTAACATAGTACCCTAAATAGTAGGATCTTTGTAATAAAGATCACAAATAGGCTACCCCTTATTTTCGGAAACTCCCAGATCGCCGCAGGCTTCTTCGAAACGACCCCTGCGTGCCCAATTTTCGAGTGGAGTACGTGCTGCATCAGCTCACGAAGGTGAATCCCCGTGAGGGATCGGTGATCACTCCCAACCTGCCACTTGCTTTCTTTCAGAAGAAGAGTTTAGGGTTTAGGGTTTAGGGAAAGAAAAGAAGAGTTTACAGAATTTTTTCCTGCTTTGCTGTTCAGGGCTTAGGACCGGCGTAGCATCATGCAGGGGGCGTGTTTAGGAAGGGTTCTTTTGGGAGTCACTGGAGTCCAGAACTTGTGTCGGGCGGTACCTACAAGCATGAGAGCTGCCGAAACAGCCGAGGAAGCGGAGGGGCGAAACTGCAGGCAGTATCGATGAGCTCAATTCCCTGGAGGGCATTACCTTGGGCCAGATGCGAACCATGCTTGAGAGAACGGCCCCTCGGTCCTGATTCGACCTCAAAGTTGGCTTTGGATGTTGCGCACCTGCAAGAAACAGACTTGCCACAAAGACAGCTTTCCGGGTAATCTACGGTGGGAGTCTTACCTTGCTGATTCCAGGTCCATGCCACCCCGGAATTGGAGAAAGCCGACCTCCTTGTGTGCACGTACCCCTACATCTATGCCTTGCTGCTGGATGAGGCTCCTTGGACGGGGTGAGGTTGGTGTCCCTAAACCCTAAACCCTAAACCTTGTTTTCATGTCCTGCACTTCGTTCTGTTTGTGTGAGGCATTGAGCTTCAAAGGTTGCACATGTTGGTTCTGGATCTTGGGCTTGAGCCCACATCCAAAATCTCTGAACCCAGACCCCAAAACACAAAGCCTATTATTTCTTGGATGTTAAATCCGATGCCTAGGTCCAGGCAACTCGGCGCAAGGCATTCCTGCTCCCGCTGCAGGGCGGCGTGCCGGCTGAATACACCGAGGAGGACTCGCCGCTATCTCTACTTACCCAGTGAAGCGAAGCAGCTACGACTACGACGCCATATATATATCAAAAAAGAGCTCAAGAATGCATTGCCCCCTCTGCGTCCACTGGCGTCCACCTCACTCCTCCTCCCGCAGCTGTTGCTGCTGTTGCAGCTGCTGCTGCTCTCCTCTTCCTGCTGCTGCTGCTTCTCGCATTTTGAGCGCTAGGCCACCACGAATACTATCGATGTTGCTCAAGAACCAACAGTAACAGCCATGGTGCCACTGACAAGAATAGCCGTATCGACAATAACTTTAGAAGTGTACCAATACTGAATACTGTAGCAACAGTAATGGCAGCTGTTAAACATGCAGGGTCAGTCTCAACACCAGTAGCCTTTCTGCCGGAGTTTTTTCTTGTCGCATTCGAAGCAGCATCGATAAAGCCAGCAGCGCTATGAGCACACCTATACGCTCGCAGTCGACAGCCAGTAATGATGCTAGTGCTGCTAGTCACAGCAGTGATGCGGAGTAATGGCATCTTGCAGGATGCTTCACACTGGCAATGTGCTTGCAAGAGCAAAAGTATTGCTGCTGATGATGTTCATGGTTGTGCAAGCCTGTATTTGCACTGCTTACTGTAGAAGACTGAGGCTACCAGTAGCACAGCGCATCAGTCCAGTCCGGACTTGTCAAGAGGACCTGCAAGCTTGGTTGCATGGCCGGCTCACGCGCTGGACCCAGGAGCTCAACAAGACGTCAGAACAGGGGCCAAGGAGCGGTGTTGGTTTGGGTTTGCATATAGACCGCCTGACGACGGGACCTCATTGGGACATTCCGAGCAGCCTGGGTTTCCACAAGCGCCGGCAGCTTGAATCACAGAAAGAGCAGCAGTACCAAGACATATGCTACTATTGTCGAAGGTGGGTGGTCGCCATGAACGGCATACAGCACGCGTGGTATGGCAGGCACGGTATGAGAATGCAACTCTGCGGTGCTGCCAACAGTTATGTCTGTGCCACTGTCACATGCACTTTCTCATGCTGTTGCTACCGGCTGTACACAACAATTGGCTTTAATACCATCGTGGACAATGCCACTCCTTCTGCTGCTGTTGCTTCTGATGGCGCCTGCTCCTTCTGCTGCTGCTGCTGCCGCTGCTGCTGCCGCTGCTGCTGCCGCTGCTGCTGCCGCTGCTGCTGCCGCTGCTGCTGCCGCTGCTGCTGCCGCTGCTGCTGCGGCTGCCGCTGCTGCTGCTGCTGCTGCTGCTGCTGCTGCTACTGCTACAGCTCTGCTAGTGCCGCTGCTGCTAGTTCTCTTCTGCTACTACTTCTGCTGCTGCTGCAACAACAGCAACACCTACTACTACTCCTGGTGCTGCTGCTGCCGCTGCTGCTGCTGCTGCTACTACTACTACTACCACTACTACTACTACTACTACTACTACAGCTACAGCAGTACTACGACAGTACTGCTACAGTACCACTACATTGTTACAGTGCTACTACAGTACTGCTACAGTACTGCTACAGTACTACTACAGTACGACTACTGTTACAGTACTACTACAGTACCAGTGCTACTACGACGACGACGACGACTAATACTATCACTGCTGCTGCTGCTACTACTACTACTACTACGACGACGACTGCTACTGCCACGACTACTACTACGACTAAGACGACGACTACTACCACTACGACTACGACCACGACTACGACTACGACTACGACGACGACGGCTGCTGCTGCTGATTCTGCTTCTCCTACTGTTGTAGCTGCTGCTGCTGCTGCTACCCACTTCTGCTGAGTGCTTTGTGGCATCGCATTGTCAAGCATAAGCGCAAATCCTTGCCAGGGCTATCGGGCCTATGCCCTTCCTGCCACTTGCCGGCCGGCACGTCCGGGGCGTGGCCGCTAAGACTGGGGCACAGATACATCGTCACGGACGCATCCTGCTGCACAGGCAGGGCTTTAGGAGCACAGGCCTTGCCTTGCAACGTAGGAGCAAGTTCGTAGCCGAGAGACGCAAATCCATGGTACGATGCATGTAGGACTGTGTGTAGGACAGGGCTTTGCTGAGCTTGATTGGCCATGGAGTGAAAAGGCACCTGTTCGCTGCAGACGTAAAACATAAATATAATATATAAAATCTTATATATATATATAATATAAAATATAATACATAATGCATAAAATATAAAATATAATACATAATATATAATATATAAGTTGTAATGCATAATACATAATACATAATATATGTAATATATAATATATAATATATAATCTATTTTATGTTATCTAACATATAATATACAATATTATATATATAGTATATATATATTATATAATATATTTATAGATATCATATATATATATATTTATATTATATATATTCATATATATATATATTCATATATATATTATATATATATATATATTTAAATATATTTATATA